GTGCAATGGCACAATCTTGGCTCACTGCAACCTCTGCCTCCTGGGTTCAAGCAATTCTCCTACCTCAGCCTTCCAAGCAGCTGGGACTATAAGCATATGCCAGCAGGCCCGGCTAATTTTTGTATTTTTAGTAGAAATGGGGTTTCACCATGCTGGCCAGGCTGGTCTCGAACTCCTGACCTCAGGTGATCTGCCCCCCCTCAGCTTCCCAAAGTGCTGAGATTATAGAAGTAAGCCACCACACCCAGCCTATACATGGATTTTTGACTGTACGGGGGGGTCAGCTGTCATTGTTCAAGGGTCAGCTATCATTGAGAAATTGATTCCAAGTGGGATGAAAAATTTTAGGATCACTCCACAGTGAATGAAGCTCACCTAATGCCACGTTTTGTAGGCAGTTAACAAGCCGTTTTTCATCTTTCTCTCCTGCTGTCTGTCTCCACCTGTTCTCCTCGGTCAATGCACTCCCCTCCCACCTCCAGGCCAGTCATGTTCACAGTAACACAGCCCTGGGGAAGGCTGGTGTCTCACTTCCTAGCTGTGTGACATTGAGCAGGTATCTTAACTTCTCTGGGCTTCCCTCACTCATCTATAAAATGAAGATAATAAAAGCCCCTGCCTCATAGCATTGTGGTGAGGGTTCAACAAGCTGACACCTGCAAAGTACGTCTTAAGTTCTTTATCAGTGCTCAAAAATCAACAAAATGAAAATAAAATCAATAAGCCAGGCATGGCATTGCAGGCCTATAGTCCCAGCTACTTGGGAGGCTGAGGCGGGAGGATCCATTGAGCCCAGGAGTTTGAGACCAGCCTGGGCAACATAGTGAGACCTCATCTCTTAAAAAAAAAAACAAAAAACGTAGAGCTAGGAATGGTGGCTCACACCTGTAATCCCAGCCCTTTGGGAGGCTGAGGAAGGAGGATCACTTGAAGCAGGAGTTTGAGACCAGCCTGGCCAACATGGTGAAACCCCGTCTCTACCAAAAATACAAAAAATTTGCTGGGCATGGTGGTGTGCACCTGTAGTCCCAGCTACTTGGGAGGCTGGGGCGTAAGAAAAGGCTGAAGCACTGCAACCTCCGCCCCACTTGAACCCAGGAGGCGGTGGTTGCAGGGAACCAAGATCACATCACTGCCTCCAGCCTGAGCAACAGAGTGAGACTCCATCTCAAAAAAAAAAAAAAAAAAAAAAAAAAAAAGAGAGAGAGGCCCAGTGGCTCAAGCCTGTAATCCCAGCACTTTGGGAGGCCGAGGCGGGTGGATCATGAGGTCAAGAGATCGAGACCATCCTGGTCAACATGGTGAAACCCCGTCTCTACTAAAAATACAAAAAATTAGCTGGGCATGGTGGCACGTGCCTGTAATCCCAGCTACTCAGGAGGCTGAGGCAGGAGAATTGCCTGAACCCCGGAGGCGGAGGTTGCGGTGAGCCGAGATCGCGCCATTGCACTCCAGCCTGGGTAACAAGAGCAAAACTCCGTCTCAAAAAAAAATAATAAAGAATAAATAAAATAAAATAAAATAAACCCAGACAACTGAAGGAAGCCACAGAGGGATCGTGACATGCCCAGAGTCACCCCAGGACAACAGAGACAGAGGAAGGATTTGAACTCAGAGCCACCTGATTCTATCCAGGCTCAGCTGGGGGCAGTGGCTCACACCCGTAATCCCAGCACTTTGGGAGGCCGAGGCGGGAGGATCACTTGAGGCCAGGAGTTTAAGACCAGCCTGGGCAACACAGTTAGACTTCATCTCAACAAAAAATAAAAATTAGCCCAGGGTGGTGGTGCACACCTGTAGTTACTGCACCTTGGGAGGCTGAGACAGGAGGATCGTTTGAGCCCAGGAGTTGGAGGCTACAGTCAGCTGAGATCACACCACTGCACTCTAGCTTGGCAACAGAACGAGTCTCAAAAAACGCCAGGTGCGGTGGCTCATGCCTATAATCCCAGTATACTTTGGGAGGCTGAGGCAGGTGGATGACCTGAGGTCAGGGGTTCAAGATCAGTCTGGACAACACGATGAAACCCCACCTCTACTAAAAATATAAAATTAGCTGGGTGTGGTGGTGCATGCCCATAATCCCAGCTACTCAGGAGGCCGAGGCAGGAGAATTGCTTGAACCCAGTAGGTGGAGGTTGCAATAAGCCGATATTGCGCAACTGCACTCCAGCGTGGGCAACAAGAGTGAAACTCCATCTCAGCTGGGCGCGATGGCTCACGCCTGTAATCCCAGCACTTTGGGAGGCTGAGGTGGGCAGATCACCTGAGATCAGGAGTTCGAGACCAGCCTGACCAATATGGTGAAACCCCATCTTTTAAAAAAAAAAAAAAAAAGAAAGAAAGAAGAAAGAAACTCCATCTCTAAATAAATAAACACATACATACATAAAGGCTTGTTCCATGGGCCCCTCTTTTTGGCTTTCAAGGATGCCCCATCCTGGGCTCCCACTCACTCGCACTCTCTGCTCCTGCCAGGAGAATCTGCCTGCTCTGCCTGTCAATCAAGCAGACCTGGTCCAGCCTCCGATCTTTGCCCACACGGGTCCATGCCTCACTCCTCTCGTGCCTGCCTTCACTTCTCTAATCCTCCCTATTCCTCCAGGCTCTGCGCTGGCGCTGCCACCTTTAAGCAGACTGCCTGATTTCTCCAGGCCACACCGGATGGGGAGGTGTATCTCATGATGGGAAACTGAGGGCTACAAGTCCAGCTTGCCCACCCAGGCCAGGCACACAGAGGTGCTCGGGAAGGCTGACTGACTGTCCCTGGAAGTGAGCCCTCACTTTTTTTTTTTTTTTTTTTGAGACAGAGTTTCACTCTTGCTGTCCAGGCTGGAGTGTAGTGGCAGGATCTGGGCTCACCGCAACCTCTGCCTCCTGGGTTCAAGCGATTCTCCTGCCTCAGCCTCCCAAGTAGCTGGAATTACAGGTGAGCGACACCACTCCCAGCTAATTTTATATTTTTGGTAGAGCCTGTTGGCCAGGCTGGTCTCAAACTTTCAACCTCAGGTGATCGGCCTGCCTCGGCCTCTTAAAGTGCTGGGATCAGAGGCGTGAGTCACTGCACCCCGCCTGAATCCTCACTTTCATTGTCTCCATCTGTGCCCTGAACTGGCCGCCACAGGGACTTGGGGGCTGAGTGGGAGTGGGGATGACTGCGGAAGAAGCATGTCTTTCTAGGAGTTCATAGCTGAAGACACAGATGCAAGAAAAGACAGCTAGATCTGCCTGAGGGCCTTCACACTGGCTATCCCAGCCACCTGGAATGTGACTCCTGCAAACTCCCTCCCCTCCCCTTCTCTTTCTTTTTCTTTTTCTGAGATGGAGGCTTGCTCTGTTGCCCAGGCTGCAGTGCAATGACACAACTCGGCTCACTGCAACCTGGGTTCAAGCAGTTCTCCTGCCTCAGCCTCCCGAGTAGCTGGGATTACAGGTGCCCACTACCAATGCCCAGCTAATTTTTGTATTTTTAATAGAGATGAAATTTCACCATGTTGGCCAGGCTGGTCTCGAACTCCTGACCTCAAGTGATCTGCCTGCCTCGGCCTCCCAAAGTGCTGGGATTACAGGCGTGAGCCCCCGGCTTTCCCCGTCCCTTTCTGATCTTTGCTCTAATATCACCTTCTCGGGGAAGCCTTCCCTGGCCACCCCCTTTAAAACTGCAACCACCTCCCCTGCCCTGGATGCTTCAATTCCCTTTCCTGCTTTGCCTGTCTTCTCGGCACAAAATAATATTTTCACTTATTTATCTTGTTTCGTGTTCATCTGCCCCACCCAGGTTCGGCTCAACACGCGAGGATTTTTGTCTGCCTTATTCCCTGGCTGATTCCGCTGTGCTGGAACAGCGCATGCTATATAAATGTGTGCTGAGTATATACACTCCAAAGCAAGAGATCAGGGTACCCTGGAAAGTGGGTCCTTGGAAAAGCAAGGGGTCACTGCGGCTAGGGAAAGCGGAAATTGGACAAAGAGGTGGTACTGGGGCCCAACTGTGAGGAATGAGGAGGGTCCGACAGCTGGCAATGCAGGGAGAAGGTATTCCATGGGGAGAGGACTGCCTGGGCAAAGGTATGCCGGCTGGAAAGCTTGTACGGGGCGCAGTGAGGAGGTCAGGGCGCCAGGGGGCAGCAGAGAGGAAAGGAGACGAGGTGGGTACCGAAATGAATGAGTGATGGATCTTCAGAAGCCTGAAGATGGGGGCCTGTATCGGGCATCCAGGGCCTAGGGCCTCACACTCACCTCTGTCTTCTTAAATCGTGCCCTGAGAGTCTTCATGGTTGGTATTCTGCGTTTCTCCTCTCCGCAGGCCACCTGAGGAAGGGCAAGGGTGGGGGTAGGGTAAGGGACACCAATCCTGGTGGGCGTGAGGGTCTGTTGCCTCCCCCTCCTCAAAAGGACCACTTCTTCCTCCCTGACCAGTCCTGGCCCCTAGAGCAAGCCACAGACCTGCTCTATCTCCTACCTACTGTGTGTCCTTTGGGAGGTTACCTGACCTCTCTGTTTTACTTCCCTCATCTATAAAATGAGAGAAATGATCCTTTCTTGGTCAGTTTTCAGTATGGTCCCTCCATAGAGCCTGGTCAAACATGAGGGGCTCAACAAATGCACGTCATTAGTATTTCCTGTTGCCCAAACAGATCAAGCCTTTTCTGGTCTCCTAACTTTTCTCTGTGTAGGTATTTCTGCTTAGAATGGATTCTTTGTACTTCTCTGAACTCCTACTCATCCTTCAAAGCCCAGTTCCAAAATCCCTTGCCCTGATCAGCTTTGCCTCTGGTTCGGAAGCAGAGATCTAACTCACCAAATTGGGTTCCCGCCTACCCCGGTTTGGTGTCTTCCTCTGCCTCACCCCTGGCTCCATGGGCTGGAAGGGTCTGCGCTGGTTCTGTCTTTTTCAACAGTCAGTGGCTCCCTAGGGACTGAACCCAGGGCTGATGGCTCTCAGCACAGAGGCATGCTTGCTAGATAGTCAGAGGAAGGCTCCATGCAGCTAAGCCCCCTCATACTGGTGTGGCCTCTGTGTGAGTGACAGCAATTCACCCATAGTGGGTGGCGGTCCGGGACGATGGCTGCATGCATGCACGTGATGTGAGCGTGGGGCGTGTTCATGCATGCACATCCGTCCACCTGGGCCTGTTCTATGTTCAGCATGTGCAGGCACAGAGGTCAGGCAGGAATATCTCAAGGGGGTGTGTTTCTTAAGGAGTGTGACTCTGGGGCCCTATGTCTGAAAGGGATCTCTGTGGATGAGAATCTATATTTGACTCTTACCAGGCAGTAGGGGTTGGGATGGCCTCTAGCTGTCCACCTACCTACTTATGAATTCTCCAAGCCACCCTTCCACCCATTTACCACCTATGTACTCACCTGGGCATTCAACCTCCCACCCAGGCACTGTACACCCACCCACTGGCCACCACCCACTAACTCACCCACCCGATTCATGTTCTCATGGTTCTTCATCAACCTTTAATCAGGCTTCACCCACACATCCATCCACCCACCACCCACCCAAACACCCACCATCTGCCACCATCCATCCATCCACTCATCCACCCATCCATCCACTTATCCATCCCTTCATCCATTTACCCAACCACCAATCCATCCATCTATCCACCCATCCATCAACTTATCTATCTCTTCGTCCATCTACCCAACCACCAATCCATCCATTCATCCATCCATCCATCCCTCCCTCCCTCCACTCAACCATCAATCCCTCCACCCATCCATCCATCCGCCTACCCAATCACCCACCCACCCACCTACCCATTCATTCATCCACCCATCCATCCACTTATCCATCCCTTTATCCATCTGCCTATCCATCTACCCAAGCACCAATCCATCCATCCATCCATCCCTCCACCCATCCATCCATTCGCCCACCCAATCACCCACCCACCCACCTACCCATCTACTTATCCACCCATCCATCCACTTATCCATCCCTTTATCCATCCGCCTATCCATCTACCCAACCACCAATCCATCCATCCATCCATCCCTCCATCCATCCACCCATCAATCCCTCCACCCATCCATCCATTCGCCCACCCAATCACCCACCCACCCACCTACCCATCTACTTATCCACCCATCCATCCACTTATCTATCCCTCCATCCATCCACCCAACCACCAATCCATCCATTTATCCACCTGTCCCTTCACCCATGCATCTACTCATCCATCCATCCACCCACTCATCCACCCGTTCATCTACCCAATCATCAACCCACCCATCCATCCACCCAACGATCAATCCATCTATTCACCCACCCATCCATTCATTTACCCCTCCACCAGCACCCATTCACTCACCACCTACCCTTTTTTCTTCCACCCTTGACTGGAGGATTCAATCACACCCAAAGCAGGGGGTAATAAGACACCCAAGACAGGAGTTCACAGGCTGCTTGGGAGAAGACAATCTGTGGGCTTGGGGGAGGGAGAAACGCATGCTAAATTTAGGGAGCTGCTTGCTGGAAGAGGTGATGGTAAACAAGAAGGGCCTGATGTCCGGGTGGGATGCTGAGCACCCGCCTTGGAGGATGCTAGGCAGGTCACAGGCCGGCAAGTGGGAAGTGCGTGCGGGAACGAGTGCATGTGTGTGTCGGGGTGCCTGGGCAGCTCAGAAACCTGGCTGGGACCCAGCACTGCTTCCTTCTCCCACATACAAGGGCTCAGGGGCCTGGGGCCCTAAAGGGATCCTCCAGCCTGGGCCTCTCCCACCTCCTTCCTCCCCTACCTCCTGCAGCTCCAGTGCCCCGAGCTCCCGGCCACAGTGCCCACTGCCGGCTCCGGTTACCCACTCCCAGCTGGGCCCCGAGAAGCTCCAGCCGCTCCACTCTGACACCTGATCAGCTCTGAGCGGGCGGCCGCCCCAGGGGGCTGGGGATGAGCCGAGGGAGGAGACAGGCTGGCAGCGGACTGCCTGTTGGCCAACTGGCTCTGGCGGGAAGACACCCACGATCTTCCCTATCATCACTGGACTGATTTCAGTTTCTGGAAGGAGCCACGCTCTTCCTGTCTTCTCAGCCTTTGCACTTGCTGTTTCCCCCACCGGGAACATTCTTTCTATATTTCAAGTCACTCCCAACTGGCTCTACCTGACTCATGCACTCTTTAGATCTTTGCCGCAACATTCCCTCCTCCAGGAAGCCCTCCTGGATGCCCCCAAGCTGGGTCAGGTGCCTCCTGTGAGCCCCCTCACTGCCCTGTGCCCTCTGCATCCCCCATTGCACCGCAACCACACCATGTCACCATTACCTGGTCACATCTTTGTGTCCACCCCCAGCCACCAGGGCAGAGACGGTACCATCTTTGTTCCCCAGTGTGCCCAGTGCACAGTAGGTGCTCAACACATGATTCTTAAATAAGTCCTCCAGGCCACCAGCCCCAGTGACCATGAGCAGGACCTGTCCTGCAAAATTCCGAACCTCCACTCGTATGATATTCAGATAACTTGGCCGGGCGCGGTGGCTCACGCCTGTAATCCCAACACTTTGGGAGGCCGAGGCGGGTGGATCACCTGAGGTGAGGGGTTCGAGACCAGCCTGGCCAACATGGTGAAACCCCATCTCTACTAAAAAAAAACACAAAAATCAGGGGGAAAAAAAAAAAAAATTAGCTGGGCGCGGTGGTGGGCGTGTGTAACCCCAGCTGCTCGGAAGGCAGAGGCAGGAGAAACGCTTGAACCCGGGAGGAGGCTGCAGTGAGCTGAGATTGCGCCACTGCATTCCAGCCTGGGCGACAGAGCGAGGCTGTCTTACAAAAAAAAAAAAAAATTTTTTTTCAGATAATTCAGGGTGGCATTCAAGACCCTTGGACTAGGGGGTCCCTGCTGCCTGGCACTGTTCTTATGGAATTTACTAACACGTAAAACGGGGTTATGGGGGGCATCGATAGCCTGCGTCCCTCATTTTAGAGGTGACTGGAGGACTCTCACGTAGGCAGCCGCCCCAATTTCCCGCTCGGGTCATCGGGCAGCCCCTTCCCAAATCCCGAGAACGCCCGCATCCGAGAAGGCGGGCTTCCTTCAGACAGCAGTTAACATGGCGCCTGCGGCGTCGGCACGCGGCGCATGCGCCTTGCCGAGGGAGGCTGGGTTCGCGGAACAGGAACGTGGCTCCTCCTTCCTCCCCGCCCCGCCCCGCCCCGCTTCCGGCGGAAGCGGCCTCAACAAGGGAAACTTTATTGTTCCCGTGGGGGCGGCGAGGATGTCGGTGAATTACGCTGCGGGGCTATCGCCGTATGCGGACAAGGGCAAGTGCGGCCTCCCCGAGGTGAGCGCATCCAGGGATCCCGAGGGTCGCTCCCAGGGCCGTAGGCCGGGAGGGGCCGGACGGCAGCAGGGCATTGTGGGACTATCAGGAGACACTGAGGCTAGACAATGGGAGGGACTTCCCAGTGAGGAAGGGGCGGGAAGTGCCACCCCTGCGCACCCGGGGACGCGAACACGCCCAACTCTGTGGCCACCGGCCCGGGCTGATCGGGGAGAGCGGGGGTGTGTAGTTCCAGGAGGCGGGGACGGCAGGCGCAAAGGCAGGGTGGTGGAATAAACGCACCTAGAGACGGGTTAGGCCGGGGAGGTGTCCAGAGCCGGGCCACGACGGGGCTCAAATGCCAGGCTGGGGAGTTGGCACTTTCTCCTGAGGGGGATGGAGAAGGGTTTTGCCCTGGCGAGGGGCCCGGACAGAATGTGCCAGGAAGATCCCTCCAGCCCCTCGGAGGGGGGGAAGTGGGGGGATCGGCGGTCCCCTCCGCGCCCTGTGGGAAGTCACTTCACTTCTGGGTCTCCATCCCCACCCTCTCTGCAAACGAGGTGAAGGTGGCCCCATCCCATCAAGGCTGACCCATGCATTCCGAGGCTTGCATTTAGTGGGCGCTGACGGTGTGCGCGCCTGTCCAGAAGCCTCACTCTTCACTGCTGCTGTCACTGTATTTATTTATTTACTTATTTTGAGACCGGGTCTTGCTCTGTCACCCAGGCTGGAGTGCAGTGGCGCGATCTCGGCTCACTGCAACCTCCATCTCCCGGGCTCAAGCGATTCTCCTGCCTCAGCCTCCCGAGTAGCTGGCATTACAGGCATGCACCACCACGCCTGCCTAGTTTTTGTATTTTTAGTAGAGATGGGGTTTTACCATGGCCAGGATGGTCTTGATCTCTTGACCTCATGATCCGCCCTCCTCGGCCTCCCAAAGTGCTGGGATTACAGACGTGAGCCACCGCGCCCGGCCTGTTAGTCACTTTATTCCACCAACATTGATGGAGCACCTGCTGTGGGTCAGGCACTCACTAGGTAAGGAGGCCACAGTCAGGAGCAAGACACGTTAACCCCTCTTTCTAATAAGGGGGACTGACTAGGGGTTGCATGGAAACCAGGTGGCCAAGGGAGGCGTCACTGTTGCTGAGGTGACATCTGAACCACAAGTTACAGGGGATGAAGGAGGCATCCATGGGGCTATCTGGGGGAGGAGCACTCAAGGGTGTGGGGACAGCGTGTGCGCAAGCCTTGAGGCAGGACCGTGCCTGGCGTGATGGAGGATGAGGGAGGAGGCCTCCCTGTGTGGCCGGATCAGAGTGACTGAGGCAGGGAAAGGGAGGAGAAGAGGGTATGGAGGGGGCAGGGCAGGTAGCGCAGGGGCTGGTGGGCCTTGGGCAGGGCCAGGGCTTTAACAAGGCAGGCGGGAGCCATGGAGGACTGTAGGCAGAGGAGGCACATGAGGACAAGCTGCCTTTTCCAATTCATTTTCCTGCCCCAGGCAAGAAAGGGACAGGGACAGCTCGGTCTGTGGCTTGTGTATGGCCTTGCCACTTGTGGGACCTGTTTTGACCCCTGCATCCGCTCCTTCCCCTACAGATCTTCGACCCCCCAGAGGAGCTGGAGCGGAAGGTGTGGGAGCTGGCGAGGCTGGTCTGGCAGTCCTCCAATGTGGTGTTTCACACGGGGGCCGGCATCAGCACCGCCTCTGGCATCCCCGACTTCAGGTCTGTGAGTGTGCAGGGGACATTGAGGCAAGGCCCACCAGCCTGCCACGGCCTTCCCCGTGAGCCACACACAACTAGGCATTAGGGCCCATCCATCTTCCTTCCTTCTGGATGTGTGCTGGGCACCGGGGACGGGTGATACCCCCTCCCTTTAGGATGTGTCCCTTGAAGTCACAACCAGCATTCCACTCACCCCCTTGGCCTGATCACACCAGGTGTGAATTTCTCCTCCTTCTCCTCTTCCATAACCTGCTGGGGCTCCCCATTGCCAGGCAGAAAGAATTCTGCATTCCTGGTGCAGGAGGCTGAAGCCCTTTCTTTCCACCCAGCCCTGAATCACCTCTCCAGCGTCAGCCCCTCCTGCACCTGCTACAGCTGCCAAAACCCTTGTGTTTTCTCCTAAACTCATGGGTTCTTCCCAGCACCCTGGCGTCTGCTTACCCCTTCTGTCTGATACTCCCTCTCACCCTTCAAGAGATGCTCAGACTCCTCCAGGAAACCCTTCCACATGCCCCAGGGTCCCCACCACCTCCACTGGGCTTCCCCAGGCCCAGGTGCCTCCTCTGGTCCAGGCTTGACCCCGTGGGGCAGAGGGTCTGTGTCCACCTGTCTCCCCCAAGATCAAGGGCTTCTGGAGGGCAGGGCTTGGGTCCACGTGACCATCCAGGCTCAGGACAGCAGCAACAAAGTTGGTTGAGCTGAATCAGTCATTTTTGCCTTCGTGTGAATTCATCGCTCTCTCTCTGTCTCTCCCTCTCTCTGTCTCCAATTCTGTCTAACTTGGCTTTGTCTTTAACTCATTATATCTGTCTCTGTCTTGTTCTGTCTTCCTCTCCCTGTTCTTCCAAATGTACCCTCTATTTCTTCCTGACTCTCTCTCTCTGTCTCCTGATTTTCTCTCTCTGCAATTTTCTCCCTCTGTCTTTTTCTGCTCCCCTCTCCCCCTCCATCTCTCCCCGCCTGCCACCTTCAGGGGTCCCCACGGAGTCTGGACCATGGAAGAGCGGGGCCTGGCCCCCAAATTCGACACCACCTTTGAGAGCGCGCGGCCCACGCAGACCCACATGGCACTGGTGCAGCTAGAACGCGTGGGCCTCCTCCGCTTCCTGGTCAGCCAGAATGTGGACGGCCTCCACATGCGCTCTGGCTTCCCCAGGTAATACCCTGGCCCCGCCCCCCAGGAATCCTTGGGACTCCACAAACCGTGTTTGCATTTTTAGGAGGAGAGTCCCCTTTTCCTCGTTCTCTAAGATTCTAGCCCTGAGCTCTCTGGGTCTTTCCTGGCCTGCTGTGTGGAGGTCTCTGAGTCCCATGGCTCAGAGCTGTCCCCACCGGGGTCAGAGGCAGAATTTCCCTTGGGGTGGGGCTCAGGGGAGGAGAGCTCTCAGGGTCTAGAAGTTGCAGTTTTATTTTTGATTTTGTTTTAAGACAAAGTCTTGCTCTGTCGCCCAGGCTGGAGTGCAATGGTATGATCTCAGCTCACTGCAACCTCCGCCTCCCACGTTCAAGTGATTCTCCTGCCTCAGCCTCCTGAGTAGCTGGGATTACAGATGCCCGCCCCCACGCCCAGCTAATTTTTGCATTTTTAGTAGAAACGGGGTTTCACCACGTTGGCCAGGCTGGTCTTGAACTCCTGACTTCAGGTGATCCACCTGCCTCAGCCTCCCACAGCGCTGGGATGACAGGCGTGAGCCACTGTGCCTGGCTGTTGTGTTTTTAGTATCCACCTTTATGAATATCCATCCTCATTAATATCCATCTTTATTCGTCTGATACTGAGCATGAACACTGCCGTGGGGCAGGCTGCTTTCCTAATAGAAGTGTGGCCCTCCCCTGCCCCTCTTTGTCGGGCCTCACCCTGGGGCAACCAGTGACAGCCATGTGGGTGCTGAGACGAGCAGATGGGCACCCAGGGGTGAGGAGCGAGGAAGAGATTTTTCTCTGCTTATAAAAGCAAAGCGGGGCAGGGTGCGGTGGCTCACACCTGTAACCCCAGCATTTTGGGAGGCCGAG